TTTTTTTTTTTTCACTGTAATGTGGTCTGGTGTGTTTTTGATGCATTTGTATGCATTTCAGTGCGTTCTGGTGCATTTTTTAACCACATTCCAGAACAGTTCTGTGCAGGAAAAATGCAGCATGTTCTACTTCTTTTTCTGGAACTGGAACAGACTGGAACTGCAAGCACTGGTGTGAACTGTGCCATTGAAAACCATATGACTTACTTTCTATGCATTTTGGATGCAGAAAAAAACACAGGAATGCATGTGGTGTGAACTAGCCCATAGGCTAAGAACATTTTCAGCAAGCACAGAGAATAAGTGCTGATCCTACCGAAAATGTAATGTCCTTGTCACTTCCTGTGAGACAAAAAGCAAGCAATGAGAACCTAATCTTTGTTGTGTAAACCACATGTCCCATCAATTCACCATGTAATGGAGATGAACCAAGGCAGACATGTTTGAAGTACAGCTTGTGTGACAAAAAATGTAATACATTGCAGCTTACCAATCATTACATGTGGTGGCTGCATTCATTTTCTTTTTTTGGGTTGTTTTCACCTGGTGATCCGGCCAGTAAGACACCTCCTGTATTAGAGTACCCCCATTCTGGATGGTGGGGAAACAGAGACACCTTCGCACAGCAGCATTATGAGTCTGGGGGGAGGGGAGTGGTAGATGTAGTAGCAGATTTAAATACACCAACAAATTGAAGCCAAACGCCAGCTAATACTTTATAAGCAGTTACAGCAACAGATTTTGTTCCTTTTGGAATAAAAGAAAGAAAGAAAAAAGAAAGAGAGAGAAAGAGAGAGAGAAAGAAAGAGAAAGAGAGAGAGAAAGAGAGAAGAAAGAAAGAAAGAGAGAAAGAAAAGAAAGAAAGAGAAAGAAAGATAGAGAGAAAGAGAGAGAGAGAAAGAAAGAGAGAGAGAAGAGAGAGAGAGAGAAAGAGAGAAAGAAAGAAAAAGAAAGGAGGGAGGGAGAGAAAAAAAGAAAAAGGAGGGAGGGAAGGAGGGAGGAAGGGAGGAAAGAGAAGGAGAGAGAGAGAAGAAAGGAGAAAGAGAGAGAGAGAGAGAGAGAGAGAGAGAGAGAGAGAGAGAGAGAGAGAGAGAGAGAATGAGAGAGAGAGAGAGAGAGAGAGAGAGAGAGAGAGATAAAGAAAGCGGGAGAGAAAAGAAAGAGGGGAATAAAGAGAGAAAAGACATAGAGAAAAAGAGAGAGGGGGGGAGAAAGTGAGAGAGAAAGAAAGCGAGAGAGAAAGAAAAGAGAGAAAGAAAGAAAGAGAAAGAAAGAAAGAAAAAAAAAGAGAAAGAAATAAAGAAAAAGAAAGAGAGGGGGGGAGAAAGAGAGAGAGAAAGAGAGAAAGAAAGTGAGAGAGAAAGAAAGCGAGAGAGAAAGAGAAAGAAAGAAAAAGAGAGAGAGAGAAAGAAAAAGAAAGATCATTGTAAGCACTCCTGTTAGTGACAAATGGTTTGTCTCAACCTTCTAACTGCTACTTCTGCTGGACAACTTGTTCTGTGAAAAAAAAAGCAACAGGCTTACTGGCTGGATCACCAGGTGAAAATAATAGAAAGAAAGCCTAAAACAGAACAACAAATACAGCCTAGAATTGGTCTAATACCACTTTAAAGAAAGTTGTCCCCCAAAAGAGCTCTTGAATGTCAAGGTCACCTTCTTCTGTGCAGCCATAGAACTGGGGGATAAGATAGAAGCTACCACAATTGTTGATCATTCAGGGAAAGCTGCATGGCTGTAATAAGTACTAGTGATTTCTATATGTGTCCTGTACTGCTGACGTAATTGACAGAATTAATATGTGCATAGGTTCCGGATCCCACATACCCAGTGTTACTCACAATGTACAGAATACTACTGAGTTCATTCTAATGTGTCATCATTTTTTTTTCATGCATGATGCAAATGTTCTGCACAGACTTGTCATCTATAAATATCCAAAAGGATAATCCTCAGGTTATCCCAGGTCCTGCCTAATGATCCCTCTGGCAGGCTCGCCTTCTTGGAATCTCATGCTCAATCGAAATGTACAAGGATTTTTTTTTTCCTTGAAATAGCTCAGTTCCAATTTATAGATCTGAAGCAACATCGAAAAATCAACACGAGACAAAACGTAATTGTCTGTAAGACCTGATTTACCTGTAAGTTTATCTAGTCCAGTTTGAGACAGTCCTTACTGCTTCAGACCAGACTCAACGGGTGAATAGGAAAGCACATTCTGTTCAGACTTAGATTATCTTTATGAGTTGTGCGCAACACAGATCTCATCTAGATTATACCTACTGGTCTCCTCAACAGGTGAGATTAGAGCTTGATCAATAGAAACTTAATATGACCCCCCCCTTTATTTTAATATATTATGGGGTGACTTTTAATCATGTTATAGGTAGGTTCTTGCTGGTAGTTACCTAATACTCATTGACCAGATGTCTTAATCTATATATATGTATATATATATATATATATATATATATATATATATATATAATATAAAATATTTATTTTTATATGCTCATTGACCAGATGTTTCTATGTATTTGTTATATTTACTGTACATGCACACTTAAGTATGGATACTCATTGACCAGATGTCTTTATAACCTAATGGGTATATATATATATATATATACATATATATATATATATTATATTATTATATATATTTATATATATATATGTATATTTTATGGTAGTTTGTAAGTATACTGCAATGCATTTTTTTAATAAATATTTTCACTTGCACTTTTTCAAACTGGTACACACAATGACATTTTCAAGGGTGAACATTTTCAATATTTTATATGTTTGAAAAGAATATATATATATATATATATATATATATATATATATATATATATATATAAATATATCTGTATATATATCATAGATGATATAGCTACATATGTATATATGCATGTTTGTATACATATATAAATACATTGACAAATATTCTCTTCTTAGAATTAAACACAACAGCTGGGCTGACTCATATGTTCTGATCTTCCCCTGTTCCTGGAAATATTAGCACGTTTGTTATATTATTATGTCACATTATTCAGCAGGAGCTCTATATACAATGCAAAGTACAGGGACCTCTCCCAGACGTTTCCAATATTAGTACTAATGTCACACTACGCAAGTCATTTCTGTCTCTTTTGGTTTGTGAATAATATAAAAGCAGATTTATTCATTTTCAGGATTTATTCATTTTAAGTATTTAAAGTTCAAATAATCTTCACATTTAAAAAAATCACAAATTCATATTCAGATATAGACACCTAAAACTTCTATCAATACAATAACTATTTGGCTTTGTAGTTGTATTCACTGAGACTCCAAAGGCAGTCACATTTTTAATGTTGCTAAAGTAGAAGAATTAGTTTATACATCTAGAGGCTTTCAGTCCCTTCCCAAATAATACATAAAATACCATTAATATATGATTATACAAAAATTTCCTATAAATATATTTAGGGGTTGATTTACTAAAAGTGGAGAGTTCAAAATCTGGGGCAGCTCTGCATAGAAATAAGTCCACTTGTAGCTTCAGGTTGTTCAATTAAGCTTTGACAATAAAACATGGAAGTTGGTTTCTATGCAGGGCTTCAGCAGATTTCGCACTCCTCAGTTTAGGTAAATCAACCCCATATTGTTAACAGCAGGACCTTCCATAAGAATAGTGCTTATAAATTTAACCAGACCAATATTCCACTGTATTTAAAAAGTCAAAATCCAAAACGGAACATTAAGTTCTCCAAGTTCTATAATCAGGTCCTACATGCAGGTAGGCATCAGGTCAAAGTTTTATGTATAATTCCATTAATGTAGTCTTATCGGAGACTTCCTGCAATATCTGGGATTATTGGACATGAAGATTGACTGTTAGAAAATATTTCTCATAAAACAAGTGTAAATTTTTATATTCTGTAAAACCCCCTGAAATATTTGTAGATGTATCTGAATATAGTATTCTAGTTGTATGTAAACGTGGCTGTAAATTAAGTCTACTGACCCTTTACTCTTGTTGTTGATGATGTTCCATTGTTACCATTATTTTGGGTACTAGTAGTAGAAAGAAAAGAAGTAGTAGTAACACTGTAAAAATAGTAGAGAAGATAGTATGGCATTCATTAAAACAGGTAGTCCAATTTAAAAATAAGCGTTTACCTTCAGGATGCCAGTGTACATGTACTTTTTATTTTTTTTACTACTTTGGCTCTGTGGCTGTTGAGATTTGTCTAGCCATTATAACTATATTTATTGCTATCAAGGGTTGACTAAAGAATTATATTTTCCACTTTTCATTATTATTTTTAATTGCTCTTCATATGATTGAGTGTTCAGAGTGAACATAGATTCAGTTGTCTAATAGAAAATGTACTTGGTTAATAAATCACCCTCTTAGCATTATAGCAAAGGTTGGAAGATCATGCAGAGACTTGCAGTTGCAGCTCCTGGAGAGAAATATATTAAAACATTTTGACAGAGGTTTCCTTTGTCTCTGTTATCCTCAATGCCTCTATCAGAGACCATCAAAATATTTAACTTGATACCCAAAGTGCTCACATGCCTGTTTTGGGACACTAGAAGGCACATTTATAAATTAGTGCATGGGACTTTCCTCAAACATTTACTGGTGGCAATCAATCAAATAAAGCACATGCACCAGAAAGATTCACTTGAAGTGAATGTTTTGATGGATATTAGATTAACTGCTTTATAAATATGGCTCTTAGGGTCAGTTTAGCATTTTTGTGGAAACCTCAAAAATTCTGGGGATTAATATGTAGGACACTATTTGAGTTCTATTGAGTTCCAGCCAACAGGTAGCACAGTTAAGGTCTTGAAAGCAGTTATACAACAAACGATTGCTGACTAGTAGGGTATCAGGTGTAAATATGGCTGTATGGCTGGTAAATACAGTGACAATTGGTAGCATGTTCCAGGTGACAAAGATAAATCAGATAACTAACTACTTGTTTTCTATACCTACTAGATTCATCATGTCCAATGGGCCGAAGAAGAAACTTACCCAGAAGCTCAAAAAGACCCTTCCGGTCACAGGGCCACAAGCAAGCTCTACCTTGTATGAGTTGATGCAATGGTACTGTTTGACCACCAACACCCACGGCTGCAGGAGGATAGTGGTATCTAAGGGTCGCTTAAGAAAATGGATATGGATTATCCTGACTTTAATAGCAGTGGCTCTTATATTCTGGCAATGCGCTCTTCTGCTTATGTCCTTCTACAGTGTGAGTGTCTCCATTACTGTCAACTTCCAAAAACTGACCTTCCCGGCCGTCACCATCTGCAACATGAACCCATACAAGTAAGAAAATTGGGGCTTTCTGTAGGGGGTTGATAACTACCAGTTTCTATGAACATTTTTGTAGAACAAGGCATTCAGAGTGCAAACTGGCAACAAATGATCTGCTTAAGTCTTTTGTATTTCTAGCTTATAGAGGCTAAAGAGCTTAAAGGATGTTAAATCACTTAGTACCAAGAGGATTGAACTCTAGCTTGATCTTACCTTATTTAAACATGTTGATTTTTAATGTGCTTCAGAGAAGGAATTAGTCAATAAGGTGTTATCAATCACAAGCTACTATGGAATTAAAAATCTAATTTATAGGCTTCATTCACACAGCACTTAGAAGTATGTTTGAAGGAAGAAGCAAAAATTTTTTTCGATGTCAATTTTTATGTGTTTTTTTGTTTTCTCATTCATGTGTTATTTTTACATGATTTAACATGCCATTATCTCTTTATGTGTGTTTATACTTCAACATCAGTTAAAATCATATGAAATGGTTCAAACCAAAAATGTATCTACTTATATTCCGGTACTGCAAAATTATTTGGACGTAGACGTTTTTAGCCAAAGATGTACTAGGTGTAGCTAGGGTCCTGAAATTAACCCTTGGGACATCTGGATGGAAAATGGCAGGACTTGTATCATAACATAGTGGATAAGGACTGATTTTTGTTTCCATGTTTTCTCTTCTTTATTCTTTCTCTATTCTCTTCATGGTCTTTTGTTTCTTTCATCCTTTCCTGCTACATTTTATGAGTCTTTGGTGCTTTTGCATTTATGCTGTCAGTGGTTTCAGAAGCATGGCACTCAAAAAGGACACCCAAAAGTATTTTTCAACTCTACTGCTTCCACCAGCCTTATATCCAACCTCATTTTGTTCTGAAAGAAATGAACTTGGATTTTAACAGTCAAAACTGTAATGTTGTAAACATGATGGCATTGCTAAAATAAAAATAAAAATGTTTTTTTCATTAGTTAAAAAAAAAAAAATCAGAATTAGATGCACAATTTTTCAAAGCATATTGTGTATAGAATATATAATCTCATTGTTAATCATTATGCAATGCTCTTGTAAACTGAAAAGAAATTTGAATTACGAAATACAGGTATAAATTGAAACTCAGTAGTTCGTTCCAAAGAATTCCAAATTCTTTAACTAATTTACGTAACGTTATGCTAGGAGGGGAAAATGCAATTACTAAACAGGGTTAGGAGAATAAATGAATAGGACACAAATAATCTCACAACCAAAACTTTTATTAAAAAGATGTGTATTTTCAATACTTGAGCTACAGTAATTACTGCAAAGGAGGACCGAGGCACCTAGTAAAAGAACAACAAGAAGTGCACCAGGTGCCAGGTTCTAGCTACAACCCTGTCGTTAAGCTTCACATACTGAATAAACAGACACTGTTCAGAATATATCTTTATCTTTATGAGGTACCAACACAAAACATGAGCTTCTTAGCCATGATTGTGGAACAGTAATTTGACAAACACTCTATAGACCTCAGACCTCAAGGCATTAAAACTAAGAACTGTTAACTCTCAACAGCCAATAATCTGACTGAGACTTGTGTCTTCTGTTACAAACAGAAGATTTAGTTCATATAATCACTCAAAGTGCAGTAATGTAACATATGCAGAAAAAGATCTAAATGCTAACAAATTTTCAAATATAAAGCAACCCTGTGAAAATGAAACATTACAGTAAAACATGCCTCTGGTGTCCATGTGCGCCCCAAACACTGCTGGGATTTTTTTTCTAGATTATTCAAGCTACTCTGCATGGGCTTTACTATAAATCATAGGACCCTATAACAAAACTTTTGAAGGGACCTCCTTGGCAACCTTTCTTAGTGGCAGGTGTTGTAGTAACCATAATAATATTGGGTATTGTGCCCAAGTTTATTAGTGTCCCTACACACTATTACTTTCTAACTCCAATATAAACTTCTTTAAATTGTGGTTTTATTTGAAGAACTACAAACCTCTGCTGTCTTGTCAGTTTTTAGCTGAGAATATAATCCAGGATTTTTTTTTACAGCTTTAGAAAGACTGTGTTAAGTCTTACATTGATAATATTAGGATGCAGATTAAGTTCTGAGGACAATAAATTGACTCCCATATACAGATTTCTACATAGGGAAAGTGAGGGAGAGCTGTGACCAACAAGGTGTCTGATGCCTCCTCCTGTGCCTTCAACCTCAGCTTTTTTTACTTCACAGAGGGTCAGTATAAGCATCAACTACAAAATCTACAACCCTTAATGATAGAGTATTATATCTGCATTATCCTCAGATAAATACAGATTTTCTGTTATTTTTTTCTCAACAGCCTCCCTTTTTTCCTGCCCCCCCCCCCCCCACTTATCCTCAAGCCAGTAGCAGCTGTGTGGATTACTGTGGCTATAGTTATGCTATTACTACTGCATGTGTCCAATAGTTAACTTATTTGAATATCCTCTTCAGTGTATGGATTAGTGTGGCATAACACCTAATGAGAAGTTACATGAGAAGTAAACGTAATGAAAGTAAGAAATTAAAATGTAGGTATCAGGGGCGGACTGACAACTCATGGGGCTCCCGGGTAATAGGGGATCATGGGGCCCTTGTGTCCTTGCCCAAACTCAAAAAAGCCTAAGAAAAAGGTACCAGGGGCATCTCATGGGGCCCCCTACTGACCCCGGGCCCTCGGGCAGTGCCCGAGTTTCCAAATGGTCAGTCTGCCCCTGATAGGTATTTGATGAGCAGATAAACCTTTATTTTAGATAAAGATATATAGACACATTAGACTCAGTCAATTTATTTGATTAGTTGTGTGCAGTACAGAAATATTCCTAACCCATTTTAAATACTGAAGACTAGGACCTGAATGTTATTAATAAAGGAAGTTAGATTCTAGCAAAAAGTGTAATTTATACCTCAGCCAATGGGCCTCTAAAAAGGATTGTGACCTGCCAGCATAGCTGACAGGGAAGGGTAATGAGGGTATCAAAACAGCCTGAGTGCAGAAAATTGGTGTAGCTCCAGGGGTGTACCACTTGCATAGGAGGGGAAGATTCTTGGGAGTACAAGTGAGAGCAATGGGCACCAGGGTTGTAAGAATATGGCAGGAGGCGAAGAATTCTGGACGTACAGGTGAGAGGTATGGGCACTGAGGTTGTACAAATATAGCAGGAGGTGAAGAATCCTTGGAGAACAAGTGAGAGGAATGGGCACTAGGGTTGTACAAATATGACAGGAGGTGAAGAATCGTGGGAGAGCAGGTGAGAGAAATGGGCACTTGGTTTGTAAGAATATGGCAGGAGGCAAAGAATCCTGGGAGAACAGGTGAGAGAAATGGAAACCTGGGTTGGAAGAATATGGCAGGAGGTGAAGAATCCTGGGAGAACAGGTGAGAGGAATGGGCACTTGGATTGTAATAATATGGCAGGAGACAAAGAATCCTCGGAGAACAGGTGAGAGAAATGGGAACCGGGGTTTGAACAATATGGCAGGAGGTGAAGAATCCTGGGAGAGCAGGCGAGAGCAATGGGCACCAGGGTTGTAAGAATATGGCAGGAGGCGAAGAATCCTGGGAGAGCAGGTGAGAGTAATGGGCACTTGGATTGTAGGAATATGGCAGGAGGCAAAGAATACTAGGAGAACAGGTGAGAGAAATGGGAACCGGGGTTGGAAGAATATGGCAGGAGGTGAAGAATCCTGGGAGAACAGGTGAGAGGAATGGGCACCAGGGTTGTAAGAATATGGCAGGAGGCGAAGAATCCTGGGAGAACAGGTGAGGGGAATGGGCACTTGGATTGTAAGAAGATGGCAGGAGGCGAAGAATCCTGGGAGAACAGGTGAGGGGAATGGGCACTTGGATTGTAAGAATATGGCAGGAGGGGAAGAATCCTGGGAGAACAGGTAAAGGGAATGTGCACTTAGGTTGTAAGAATATGGCAGGAGGCGAAGAATCCTGGGAGAACAGGCGATGGGAATGGGCACCACAGTTGTGGTTTCATGAGTGTTGTGAAGTGACATAATAGGTGGGGAAGCTGGTGATCTTCATATGTTTGATTTGTGTGATGGTTTTAAGGGCACTACCATGCTCCTATAGGATCTTTATCTAACCGACCTTAAGCAGTGAGGGGTTGCTACATTTCTACTTCTTTGAAACTCTGCAGCATTTCAGGAAGCGAGGGAGTGCCATGTAGCAGCAGATGGGCAGTGTTGTTGCTGGCTAGTGTGATATGGCCCTAAAACACAGTAATCGTACCCTAGAGCCACATTTACTTTATGCCATAGCTCACTCCTTGCAATGCATATACTATATCACAAACAGATCCCCTTTCTGTAAAATGCTTTAAAATGCATTCCAAATCATTAGATGGGATTGCCATGCATTGTGATACAGGAAAATGTGGACTATGTAGCAAACATATGGCGCCGCTCAAAGCTGGACGAAGCACATTTACCCCGCTGGCAGGGAAGAGCAGTGTCCCAAGTTATACCAGAAACTAAGCAATGTGCAGGAAAAGAGGATGGACGCCGCTCATAACCATAGGATGTTTATGGGGATAGCATTGCAACTTAACATACAGTTGTGAACAACATATTATGCTAATACTAAATTGACTTTTGGCCTAATTCGAAGGAGTTTGAAGTGCTAATTTTTAACTGTAGTAACCAATATTAACCAATCAGCATCCACTCTGTCATAGTCTGACTAGTGCAAGGTAGATTCTGATTGGGTGCAGTGGGTTACTGCACTTAAGAATGACCACTTAGGAATAACAGCTCTATTAAATTAGGCCATTTGTGTATTTTGCTGTAGACTAATGCAGGTCAATGTTGAACAGACCTCTTCTCATAGATTACTTTTTTTTTGTGTTTACGTACATCTCAATACCAAGAGTATATTACAAAATATATTGAAGTACCAAATGTAGAGTACTCAGCAATGACTTAATTGCCTCTGAGAGGCTATGCAAATGTGGTTTTATACATTCAGACAGGATGGAAAGTTTCCTG